ATATAAAGGGATAATGGGATAATGGGATATAATGGGATATAATGGGATATAATGGGATAATGGGATATAATGGGATATAATGGGATAATGGGATATAATGGGATAATGGGATCCATGGGATAATGGGATATAATGGGATAATGGGATATAATGGGATATAATGGAATAATGGGATATAATGGGATAATGGGATAAAATGGGATAATAGAATAATGGGATATAATGGAATAATGGGATATAATGGGATAATGGGATAAAATGGGATAATAGAATAATGGGATATAATGGAATAATGGGATATAATGGGATAATGGGATATAATGGGATCATGGGATCAATGGGATCCATGGGATCCATGGGATCCATGGGATAGGATGGGATAGGATGGGATGATGGGATAATGGAATAATAGGATCCATGGGATGGGCTGGGATATAATGGGATAATGGGATATAATGGAATAATGGGATATAATGGAATAATGGGATATAATGGGATAATGGGATAAAATGGGATAATAGAATAATGGGATATAATGGAATAATGGGATATAATGGGATAATGGGATATAATGGGATCATGGGATCCATGGGATCCATGGGATCCATGGGATCCATGGGATAGGATGGGATGATGGGATAATGGGATAATGGAATAATAGGATCCATGGGATGGGCTGGGATATAATGGGATAATGGGATATAATGGGATAATGGGATATAATGGGATCCATGGGATAATGGGATAATGGGATATAATGGGATCCATGGGATCCATGGGATGGGATAGGATGGGATGATGGGATAATGGGATAATGGGATAATGGAATAATAGGATCCATGGGATGGGCTGGGATATAATGGGATAATGGGATAATGGGATATAATGGGATATAATGGGATATAATGGGATAATGGGATATAATGGGATATAATGGGATAATGGGATATAATGGGATAATGGGATATAATGGGATAATGGGATAATGGGATCCATGGGATAATGGGATAAGGGGATAATGGATGGGTATGGAATGGGATCTATGAGATAGGATGGGATATAATGGGATAATGGGATCCATGGGATAATGGGATCCATGGGATAATGGGATAATGGGATCCATGGGATGGGCTGGGATATTGGTTCAGCACGGGACGAGCCGGGCTGGACGGGAAGAGAATTCCCAGATTCCCATCCCGTTTTCCGGCAGGAGAAGGAGGCCGTGCTCAGCGCCCTGGCGGAAAAGGCGCGGCTGACGCAGGAGATCTTCAACCGCACCCCGGGGATCCACTGCAACCCCGTGCAGGGAGCCATGTACTCCTTCCCCCGGATCGACCTCCCGGACAAAGCGCTGGCCGCCGCCAAGGTGCCCGGGAACGCCGGGAAAGCCGGGATCCGCGCCGGGATCCGCACTGGGAATGGCGGGATCTGAACTGGGAATGGCGGGATCTGTACTGGGAATGGCAGGATCTGTACTGGGAATGGCGGGATCTGCACTGGGAATGGCGGGATCCAAACTGGGAATGGCGGGATCTGAACTGGGAATGGCGGGATGTGAACTGGGAATGGCAGGATCTGCACTGGGATCCACACAGGGAATGGTGGGATCTGTACTGGGAATGGCAGGATCTGTACTGGGAATGGCGGGATCTGAACTGGGATCTGCACTGGGAATGGCGGGATCTGTACTGGGAATGGTGGGATCTGAACTGGGAATGGTGGGATCTGCACTGGGATCCACACAGGGAATGGTGGGATCCAAACTGGGAATGGCGGGATCTGTACCGGGATTTGCACCAGGAATGGTGGGATCCAAACTGGGAATGGTGGGATCCAAACTGGGAATGGTGGGATCTGAACTGGGATCCGCAGTGGGAATGGCAGGATCTGAACTGAGAATGGTGGGATCTGTACTGGGAATGGCGGGATCTGCACTGGGAATGGAGGGATCTGCACAGGGAATGGCGGGATCTGAATTGGGAATGGCGGGATCTGCACTGGGAATGGCAGGATCTGCACTGGGAATGGCGGGATCTGCACTGGGATCCACACAGGGAATGGCGGGATCTGAACTGGGAATGGTGGGATCTGCACCGGGAATGGTGGGATGTGAACTGGGAATGCCGGGATCCACGCTGGGATCCGCACTGGGAATGGTGCAATCTGTACTGGGAATGGCGGGATCTGAACTGGGAATGGCGGGATCTGCACTGGGATGGATGGGATCCAAACTGGGATGGATGGATCCGAACTGGGATGGATGGATCCAAACTGGGATGGACGGGATCCAAACTGGGATGGACGGGATCCAAACTGGGATGGATGGATCCGAACTGGGATGGATGGATCCGAACTGGGATGGACGGATCCAAACTGGGATGGACGGATCCAAACTGGGATGGGCGGGATCCAAACTGGGATGGGCGGGATCCAAACTGGGATGGATGGATCCAAACTGGGATGGATGGATCCAAACTGGGATGGATGGATCTAAACTGGGATGGACGGGATCCAAACTGGGATGGACGGGATCCAAACTGGGATGGACGGGATCCAAACTGGGATGGATGGATCCGGATGGATCCGGATCCACGGGGGGTGTGCCGGACGTGATCCCGGTTTTTCCGACGCCGCGTTCCGTGCGGAATTCCCAGGAGAAGCAGCAGGCCCCGGACATGTTCTTCTGCATGAGGCTCCTGGAGGAAACCGGGATCTGCGTCGTCCCGGGAAGCGGCTTTGGACAGAAGGAAGGCACCTTCCACTTCCGGTGGGTTCCCGGGCTGGAATTCCCTGATTTTTGGGGGAATCCACCCCAAATTCCCTGATTTTGGGATCCCCCATCCCAAATTCCCTGTTCCTGGGATCCCCCAAATCCCCAATTCCCAAATCCCAAAATCCCAAATTCCCAAATCCCAAAATCCCCAAATCCCAAATCCCCAAATCCCCAAATTCCCAAATCCCCAAATCCCCAAATCCCAAATCCCCAAATCCCCAAATTCCCAAATCCCCAAATCCCAAATCCCAAATCCCCAAATCCCAAATCCCCAAATCCCCAAATCCCCAAATCCCCAAATCCCCAAATCCCAAATCCCAAATCCCCAAATCCCCAAATCCCAAATTCCCCTCATCCCAAATCCCAAATCCCCAAATCCCAAATCCCCAAATCCCAAATCCCCAAATCCCCAAATCCCAAATTCCCAAATCCCCAAATCCCAAATCCCCAAACCCCAAATCCCCAAATCCACTCATCCCAAATCCCCAAATCCCAAATCCCAAATCCCCAAATCCCCAAATCCCAAATCCCCAAATCCCAAATCCCCAAATCCCAAATCCCCTCCCCCCACCCACCACAACTTTTTGGCCTCCCCGGGAAAAAGAAGCTTTGAAATTCGGGAATTCTCCCATTTTTCCAGTGGGGAAAATTTGGGAATTCCCGTCCCTTTTCCCGAATTTTTAAATTTTTGGGGGGGGATTTTTCCCGCCAGGATGACGATCCTGCCTCCCACGGACAAACTGAAAATCCTCCTGGAAAAACTCAGCGCCTTCTACACCAAATTCGTCCAGGAATTCTCTTAAAAATTCCCGCCCGGAATTCTCCTCTCCCGGCTTTTCCGGGCGTTTTTTTTTTTGGGAATTGCGGGGCAGGTCCCCCCCCCAGTGTTCCCAAATAAAGGACGCTGAACGGCCCCGCCTTTTTTTTTCCGGGAGGGTTTTTATGGAATTTGGGGTGGGATTTTTGGGAGGGGAAGGGAATTCCGGACGGGTGTTCCCGGTCCTTGGGAATTGCGGCTCTTCCGGAATTCCGGGTCCTTCGATCCCCCGGGAATTGCGGGTCCTCCAAAATTCCAGACCCTCCGATTCCTTGGGAATTGTGGCTCCTCCAATTCCTTGGGAATTCCAGATCCTTCAATTCCTTGGGAATTCCGGGTCCTTCGATCCCCTGGGAATTGCGGCTCCTCCAAAATTCCGGATCCTCTGATTCCTTGGGAATTTGGGAATTCCAGCTCTTCCAGTCCTTGGGAATTCCAGATCCTCCAATCCTTGGGAATTTGGGAATTCCAGACCCTCCAATTCCTTGGGAATTCCGGATCCTCCAATTCCTTGGGAATTCCAGATCCTCCAAAATTCCAGTTCCTCCAATCCTTGGGAATTCCAGATCCTTCAATTCCTTGGGAATTCTGGGTCCTTCAATCCTTGGGAATTTGGGAATTGCGGCTCCTCCAATCCCTGGGAATTCCAGACCCTCCAATTCCTTGGGAATTCCAGATCCTCCGATCCCTGGGAATTCTGCATCCTTCAAAATTCCAGATCCTCTGTTTCCTCGGGAATTTGGGAATTCCAGCTCTTCCAGTCCCTGGGAATTCCAGATCTTTCAATCCTTGGGAATTTGGGAATTCCAGACCCTCCAATTCCTTGGGAATTCCGGATCCTCCAATCCCTGGGAATTGCGGCTCCTCCAAAATTCCAGATCCTCCAATCCCTGGGAATTTGGGAATTCCAGCTCTTCCAGTCCTTGGGAATTCCAGATCTTCCAAAATTCCAGATCCTCCAATCCTTGGGAATTCCAGATCCTTCAATCCTTGGGAATTTGGGTCCAATTCCAGACCCTCCAATTCCTTGGGAATTCCGGATCCTCCAATCCCCTGGGAATTTGGGAATTCCAGCTCTTCCAGTCCTTGGGAATTCCAGATCCTCCAATTCCTTGGGAATTCCGGATCCTCCAATTCCTTGGGAATTCCAGATCCTCCAAAATTCCAGTTCCTCCAATCCTTGGGAATTCCAGATCCTTCAATTCCTTGGGAATTCTGGGTCCTTCAATCCTTGGGAATTTGGGAATTGCGGCTCCTCCAATCCCTGGGAATTCCAGACCCTCCAATTCCTTGGGAATTCCAGATCCTCCGATCCCTGGGAATTGCGGCTCCTCCAAAATTCCAGATCCTCCAATCCCTGGGAATTTGGGAATTCCAGCTCTTCCAGTCCTTGGGAATTCCAGATCTTCCAAAATTCCAGATCCTTCAATCCTTGGGAATTCCGGGTCCTCCAAAATTCCAGGATCTCCAATTCCTTGGGAATTCTGGGTCCTTCGATCCCTGGGAATTTGGGAATTGCGGCTCCTCCAATCCCTGGGAATTCCAGACCCTCCAATTCCTTGGGAATTCCAGATCCTCCGATCCCTGGGAATTCTGCATCCTTCAAAATTCCAGATCCTCTGTTTCCTCGGGAATTTGGGAATTCCAGCTCTTCCAGTCCCTGGGAATTCCAGATCCTTCAATCCTTGGGAATTTGGGAATTCCAGATCCTCCGATTGCTTGGGAATTTGGGAATTCCAACTCTTCCAATCCTTGGGAATTCTGGGTCCTTCGATCCCTGGGAATTCCGCATCCTCCGATTCCTTGGGAATTTGGGAATTCCAGTTCCTCCAATTCTTTGGGAATTCCAGATCCTCTGATTCCTTGTGAATTCTGGGTCCTCCAATCCCTGGGAATTCCAGATCCTCCAAAATTCCAGATCCTCCAATGCCTTGGGAATTCCAGATCCTCCAATCCCTGGGAATTCTGGGTCCTCCAAAATTCCAGGATCTCCGATTCCTTGGGAATTCTGGGTCCTTCGATCCCTGGGAATTGCGGATCCTCCAAAATTCCAGATCCTCTGATTCCTTGGGAATTTGGGAATTCCAGCTCTTCCAGTCCCTGGGAATTCCAGGTCCTTCAATCCCTGGGAACTGTGGCTCCTCCAATCCCTGGGAATTCCAGGTCCTGCAATCCTTGGGAATTTGGGAATTCCAGATCCTTCAATTCCTTGGGAATTCTGGGTCCTTCAATCCCTGGGAATTTGGGAATTCCAGCTCTTCCAGTCCTTGGGAATTGCGGCTCTTCTGGAATTCCGGGTCCTTCGATCCCCGGGAATTGCGGCTCCTCCAAAATTCCAGATCCTCCAGTCCCTGGGAATTCCAGATCCTCCGATTCCTGGGAACTGTGGCTCCTCCAATCCCTGGGAATTCCAGGTCCTGCAATCCTTGGGAATTTGGGAATTCCAGACCCTCCAATTCCTTGGGAATTCTGGGTCCTCCAATTCCTTGGGAATTTGGGAATTCCAGATCCTTCAATTCCTTGGGAATTCCAGATCCTCCAATTCCTTGGGAATTATTTGGGAATTCCAACTCTTCCAGTCCCTGGGAATTCCAGATCCTCCGATTCCTTGGGAATTGTGGCTCCTCCAATCCCTGGGAATTTCCAGGTCCTGCAATCCTTGGGAATTCCGGGTCCTTCAATTCCTTGGGAATTCTGGGTCCTTCAATCCCTGGGAATTTGGGAATTCCAGCTCTTCCAGTCCTTGGGAATTGCGGCTCTTCTGGAATTCCGGGTCCTTCGATCCCCCGGGAATTGCGGGTCCTCCAAAATTCCAGATCCTCCGATTCCTTGGGAATTCCGGGTCCTTCGATCCCTGGGAATTCCGCATCCTCCAAAATTCCAGATCCTCTGTTTCCTTGGGAATTTGGGAATTCCAGCTCTTCCAGTCCCTGGGAATTCCAGATCCTTCAATCCTTGGGAATTTGGGAATTCCAGATCCTCCGATTGCTTGGGAATTTGGGAATTCCAACTCTTCCAATCCTTGGGAATTCTGGGTCCTTCGATCCCTGGGAATTCCGCATCCTCCGATTCCTTGGGAATTTGGGAATTCCAGTTCCTCCAATTCTTTGGGAATTCCAGATCCTCTGATTCCTTGTGAATTCTGGGTCCTCCAATCCCTGGGAATTCCAGATCCTCCAAAATTCCAGATCCTCCAATGCCTTGGGAATTCCAGATCCTCCAATCCCTGGGAATTCTGGGTCCTCCAAAATTCCAGGATCTCCGATTCCTTGGGAATTCTGGGTCCTTCGATCCCTGGGAATTGCGGATCCTCCAAAATTCCAGATCCTCTGATTCCTTGGGAATTTGGGAATTCCAGCTCTTCCAGTCCCTGGGAATTCCAGGTCCTTCAATCCCTGGGAACTGTGGCTCCTCCAATCCCTGGGAATTCCAGGTCCTGCAATCCTTGGGAATTTGGGAATTCCAGACCCTCCAATTCCTTGGGAATTCTGGGTCCTCCAATTCCTTGGGAATTTGGGAATTCCAGATCCTTCAATTCCTTGGGAATTCCAGATCCTCCAATTCCTTGGGAATTATTTGGGAATCCCAACTCTTCCAGTCCCTGGGAATTCCAGATCCTCCAATTCCTTGGGAATTCCAGATCCTCCAATCCTTGGGAATTTGGGAATTCCAGCTCTTCCAGTCTCTGGGAATTCCAGGTCCTTCAATCCCTGGGAATTGTGGCTCCTCCAATCCCTGGGAATTCCGGGTCCTGCAATCCTTGGGAATTTGGGAATTCCAGACCCTCCAATTCCTTGGGAATTCTGGGTCCTGCAATCCTTGGGAATTTGGGAATTCCAGATCCTTCAATTCCTTGGGAATTCCAGATCCTCCAATCCTTGGGAATTCCGGGTCCCTCGATCCCTGGGAATTCCGCATCCTCCAAAATTCCAGATCCTCCGATTCCTTGGGAATTCCGGGTCCTCCAATCCTTGGGAATTTGGGAATTCCAGATCCTTCAATTCCTTGGGAATTCCAGATCCTCCAATCCTTGGGAATTCTGGGTCCTCCAAAATTCCAGATCCTCCAATTCCTTGGGAATTATTTGGGAATTCTAACTCTTCCAGTCCTTGGGAATTCCAGATCCTCCAATCCCTGGGAATTCTAGAATCTCCAATCCCTGGGAATTCTGGGTCCTCCAAAATTCCAGGATCTCCAATTCCTTGCGAATTCCGGGTCCCTCGATCCCTGGGAATTCTGCATCCTCCAAAATTCCAGATCCTCCAATCCCTGGGAATTCCAGATCCTCCAATTCCTTGGGAATTCCGGGTCCCTCGATCCCTGGGAATTCCGCATCCTCCAAAATTCCAGATCCTCTGTTTCCTTGGGAATTTGGGAATTCCAGCTCTTCCAGTCCTTGGGAATTCCAGATCCTTCAATTCCTTGGGAATTCCAGATCCTCCAATCCTTGGGAATTTGGGAATTCCAGCTCTTCCAGTCCTTGGGAATTCCAGATCTTCCAAAATTCCAGTTCCTCCAATTCCTTGGGAATTCCAGATCCTCCAATCCTTGGGAATTTGGGAATTCCAGCTCTTCCAGTCCTTGGGAATTCTGAATCCTCCAATCCTTGGGAATTCCAGATCCTTCAATTCCTTGGGAATTCTGGGTCCTTCAATCCTTGGGAATTTGGGAATTCCAGACCCTCCAATTCCTTGGGAATTTGGGAATTCCAGATCCTCCAATCCCTGGGAATTCCGGGTCCTCCAAAATTCCAGGATCTCCGATTCCTTGGGAATTCCGGGTCCTTCGATCCCCTGGGAATTGCGGATCCTCC